GAATTGATCGCAACAGTATTGATTCAAATGATAAGATAATAAGAGCGTACACATTATAACTTTATAATATAATTTGGCATTTTATGTCACTGCGGAGGTTCCAAGTATGAAAATAACCATGTAAAGATAATTACAAATATGTCCCAATTATTTCTTCATGTCTAGTCATGTTACCCTGACCAAATCCTGAGTTTCTAATACCTTAGTTTGAAGTCGTACATATAATTATAAACCGTATCATATTTTCAATAATTCAGCAAACTTCCTGACCATACATTCGTAAAAATGCAGTAAAAATACACCGATTACAACATCAACTGAGACATCCAGATTAAAGTCTGTTCAGTTCAACTGTCTGACAATAAATATGAATACCATATGATAGAGGTCTTTACTAACATTTATCCCGATTGACCGAGTACCGACATTAAATCCCACCGTTTGGGTGTCCTTTTTTAACAAGAATACAAAGATTGGAATTTGATAATATCATAATGTTTATCATTAATTTACGTTGAATCGACGTTGTGCAAATTTGGGAATAAAAAAGTTTTAATAATCATTCTTAACATTGTCATTAAACCAAGTCTCTATTTTACGTAATTTCAGATAAATCACAATTTATAATATTTTTCGTTATTATGGCGTAAATGAAGAAAATAATCATAATAAAAACTTTGGAAAGTTTTGTGAATTAAAGGCGAGTAAAACAATAGAACCTTTCTTTGCAATTATTTATTAAAATTTTTTTTTTTTCATTCGGTAAATTAATTTCCCTGAGCATGATGTATTTAAATGAACTTCGCTAAAATATAGCATTTAACTATTATAAAACTGTACTGAATAAAAATAGAAACAAAATTAAACCAGACAGTCTTTAAAATGATAACTCTTAAATAGCATAAAGAATAGTTTTTAAAAATCATATTGGGTTATAGTCTGAAAAAAGACTGCATCTCCGAGACATATAATCCTTAAAAATCGATCTCTTTAATTAATGGGCTGTCATTCTTTCCTTGAACTATAGACATCAATACATATAATCAACTCAGTTTCTGATTCAACAGGAAGAGGCAAGATCAACTTTTAGTGTGAGATCCCAAACGTAAAAGTTGATAAGACAGAGGATAGGCCTGCTTAACTCCTCACCAACGAACGAACTCTCTACAATACTCTAAATTATGAACTTGAAATGTGGATCTATTGCGGATCAGCCCCCGCCCCAGTGGTACCAATGGTAACTACTGGTACTGTACACACCTAACCAAACCCCAGGTAAACCTACCTAAATCCTAACTAACTAACCAATAACAACCCTAACCCTAACCCTAACCCTAACCCTAACCCTAACCCTAACCCTAACCCTAACCCTAACCCTAACCCTAACCCTAACCCTAACCCTAACCCTAACCCTAACCCTAACCCTAACCCTAACCCTAACCCTAACCCTAACCCTAACCCTAACCCTAACCCTAACCCTAACCCTAACCCTAACCCTAACCCTAACCCTAACCCTAACCCTAACCCTAACCCTAACCCTAACCCTAACCCTAACCCTAACCCTAACCCTAACCCTAACCCTAACCCTAACCCTAACCCTAACCCTAACCCTAACCCTAACCCTAACCCTAACCCTAACCCTAACCCTAACCCTAACCCTAACCCTAACCCTAACCCTAACCCTAACCCTAACCCTAACCCTAACCCTAACCCTAACCCTAACCCTAACCCTAACCCTAACCCTAACCCTAACCCTAACCCTAACCCTAACCCTAACCCTAACCCTAACCCTAACCCTAACCCTAACCCTAACCCTAACCCTAACCCTAACCCTAACCCTAACCCTAACCCTAACCCTAACCCTAACCCTAACCCTAACCCTAACCCTAACCCTAACCCTAACCCTAACCCTAACCCTAACCCTAACCCTAACCCTAACCCTAACCCTAACCCTAACCCTAACCCTAACCCTAACCCTAACCCTAACCCTAACCCTAACCCTAACCCTAACCCTAACCCTAACCCTAACCCTAACCCTAACCCTAACCCTAACCCTAACCCTAACCCTAACCCTAACCCTAACCCTAACCCTAACCCTAACCCTAACCCTAACCCTAACCCTAACCCTAACCCTAACCCTAACCCTAACCCTAACCCTAACCCTAACCCTAACCCTAACCCTAACCCTAACCCTAACCCTAACCCTAACCCTAACCCTAACCCTAACCCTAACCCTAACCCTAACCCTAACCCTAACCCTAACCCTAACCCTAACCCTAACCCTAACCCTAACCCTAACCCTAACCCTAACCCTAACCCTAACCCTAACCCTAACCCTAACCCTAACCCTAACCCTAACCCTAACCCTAACCCTAACCCTAACCCTAACCCTAACCCTAACCCTAACCCTAACCCTAACCCTAACCCTAACCCTAACCCTAACCCTAACCCTAACCCTAACCCTAACCCTAACCCTAACCCTAACCCTAACCCTAACCCTAACCCTAACCCTAACCCTAACCCTAACCCTAACCCTAACCCTAACCCTAACCCTAACCCTAACCCTAACCCTAACCCTAACCCTAACCCTAACCCTAACCCTAACC